TTAGGTAAGAAACAGTTTTCATTTTGCTTCTTCTAATCCTGTTTGTTGTCTCTGAGATGAAACAGCAGCCTCATAGCTACCAATCCTTACAGCTACCAGTGGTTCTCGCATGTGGACCAATTTGCAAACAGTGTTTCCCGTCCACCTCACCTCAAAGACACAGGCAGTTTAGTCGGGCAGGGAAGATACAGCAGTACAAAAGTCTATAAACTAAGACTTTGGGGTTCAACAAACCAGAGGGGTGCCTGAGGCCAGGTAAAAGTGATTCAAGGACCGGGAACTGCACTGGAGCCTTCTGGATCTGGCCTATGATGTCCTTGGAGGGCCAGCCGGTGCCCTTGAATTTGAGGACGTCAGACTGCAAGGAGTAATTGCAGTGTTGGTCAGGCTTCAGATGCATGTCCTCTCCTGAGCTGGAGGAGGGCAAAGGCCATCTGTGTGTCTGAGGTGAGGGCTAATAAGATGGGATCTAGAAGCCACCTGTGGAAAGCAGTGGTGTATTTAACAAGGCAGAAAGGTGAAGAGAAACTGAACCCATTTGAGAGGACTAGAAGGGGTGACAGACATCAGACTTGATTGAGAACCAATTGTGAGCTGCTCATAGCGAGGTGGTTCGGAAACTGTCAGATATTCCTGCCAACCGGGGGAGATGTCACAGACGAGCCTTCAGGTCCTGGTAAGCTCAATACAGTTTGTATGACTTCCAGGAGCTGCTACTGAAGAAGCCCGGGCTTCTGTGAAATGTAAGAAAAGCAGAGGAATGGAGGGAGGAGGGAGGAGATGCTAGAGAATAGGGAAGGAAGCAGAAGTCAGCAGTCAGGTACCCTGGGGGCGGAACGAATGTTCTTTGGCCCAGAGAACCGAGGGAAGAGCCCAGTGTGTACCTCAGAGTGAGGCTGCTGATTCTCCGGGGATGGCCCTGAGCCTCAGCTTCTCCCTGTGTGGTGACAGAGGGCTGGCCTACACTGGAGAGTGACCAAAGGGTGAGACAGAACATGTGACTTGCAGGAGCACTGCCAGGCTCTTTGCAGGGGCCCAATGTGTGCGCACTCTGGCTCTTGTACCCACTTTTTATTCTTCTTTATTTAAAAAAGTTATATGAGGGGCTTGAGATTTAGCTCAGCAGCACAGTGCCTGCCTGGCAAGCGCGAGGTCATGAGTTCGATTTCCGGTACCAGAAAAAAACAAAAAACAACAACCAAAAAATAAAAATGTTATGTGAGTAATGTTGAACCACTGTAACAAATTCAAGCCAAACAGATGTATATGAAATAAAACAAGAACATCTGACCTTAAGGGAGCTCCCCTACCCTATCCTGGCACCCTATCCCAGATGTATTGCTGACAACTGTTTGTCTGCTATAAAGTTTTGTCTTCAGGGGAAAAAAGGTGTCTTTCCTATACAATATTAAGATCTGGTAGGTGTGTGGAAGAAAGTACTATTCCAAACACTAAGCTCTCAGAATCTCGGCAGTTAAGGGCAAGCAGTGGATCTTGTACAGCTTAATGCGCGTGCGCACACATGTATCAATGCTTGTTTGCATAGCTCCATTGATTGAAATCACCTTTCACAAGTACTTACTGGAAAAATGAAGAAATGTGCAAATGACATTTGAAGTCCCTTTAATGGCGAAAGCTCACCAGATGGTTTTTGTTTTCTCTGAGGGATTAATGCTGCTTTGTTCTACAGCATCTAATGATACCTTTGAAAACCAACATCTAACCCTTACTGTTGAAGATCTGAAAGAGGGGCACTTTATTATGATGCTCAGCTAGCTTTGATCAGAGCAGCCACAGGTGTTTGTACAGGGTGGTGACCCTAGAGCATTCTCCAGGAAGGAGCTGGGTCAAGCATATTTTCTCTCTTTTAAGCCTATAGTTTGTAACCTGGTGAACACTGTGTTACCATTGTGTTGGTTAAAAGCTCTAGGATTTGAGGAACTCAAAAGCTTAAAATAAGCAGACCATGGTGCTGAGGCTGTAATCCCAGTACTGTGGGAGGTTGAAGCAGGAAAATTGCAAGTTTGAACCCATCCTGGGCTATTTAGTGACTTCATGAGACCCCGTCTCAAAAAATCTTTACAAGGTTGCACATATTGCTCAGTGCAAAAGCCTTAGGTTCAATTTCTAGTAACACACACACACACACACACACACACACACACACACACACAAAGATTAAACCTATCTTTATCATGCTGGTGCCTTCATGTATTTCTATTAAATATAGATGAAAGCAAATAGATTATTTTCTCTTGGGTATTTTTACTAGATAATGTAACCCCAGGATATCAGATCCAAACTGTCCTCTGCAAAATCTGCACAACCTCAAAACACACACACACTCTCTCTCTCTCTCTTCCTCTCTCTCTCTCTCACACACACACACACACACACACTTAAACTAACGCACTGTAGTTATTTGCGGCAAGGAATAGGTATCATCTTGGTGCACGCATCCTTTCTTAAAACTGAGTGTCCCCAAATGCAATCTCCCTAGCAAACAGAAATTTAAAACCAAATTAAATAAACCACCAACTCCAAACCTCCTTATGGTAATCCCAAAGACCTGAAGAAAGCCTGGTGAGGAGTCCGCACGGGTTTCATGCAACTGCAGAAATGTGTTGGTTATTTGGCTTCAGCGGAGCTTGTACATTTCCAAAGTGTGAAGGTCAAGGTCTGGGAGGGCCATGGCTATCTGCCCCATCAGCTGCTAAGCCCTTTGCTTCGGCCCAGAGTTCTGGTGGAGGGTCAGCCCAAGGCCACTCTCCCTGCTGTTCTGGTAACAGAGGACATCATGGAGGTGACTTCTCCTTCTGTTCATTCAAGACCCTGTTTATCTTCCTTCACTCCTCTGGGACTTCCTGGTCCTTTCATTACATGAAAGGCCTATGCACAACTGCCCGGCCACCAAGCTGCAGCTGACAGTGGTGCTCCCCACACCTGGCCCTGGCTCTGGCCGGGTCCCCGGCGATCTCAGTGGGCGTCAGTGGGCTCTCCTATGTGGATGCTCATATCTGCATCACAGGTCCCAGCAGGCAGAGGTGAGCACCTGATACATGAAAACAGGAGGAGTAGCAAGAAACTGCCAGCCAGCTTCTACTCTCTTGCCCCTGAAGAAGCCATCCTTATCTCTTTAACATTTCTAAATGACTGTCAGGTCCCATTCAGAGTGAAGAGACAGGCTCCATCCCCAAGGGACCCATAGACCCATGGGGGAATTAGGTAGCATCTTCAGAAGTTCTCTGTATCCTAAGGTTTAAGAATTGCTTTCCTTTGGGGATATAGCTCAGTGGCACAAGCAAAAGGTCCTGAGTTCCATTCCCAGTACCAAAAACAAACAAACAAACAAAAAACAAAAAAAACCTGATGGGAAGAATTGCGTTCTCTTTAAAACTTTTTCTTTTAATAATTTATATAATCTATCATCAATGTCAGAATTCTTAGAGAAAATTAAGGACTCTAGGAAATGGAGCACTAGATCATGGAGAATTTATGATTCCATGTGCCTACATGTGGGGCTGGGGATTTAGCTCAGCGGCACAGTGCCTGCCTGGCAAGCATGAGGTTGTGAGTTCGATTCCTGGTACCGGAAAAACAAACAAACAAACAAACCAAAAAAAAACCATGTGCCTACACGCTTCTACAGATTGTCAAAGTGCAACTTTGATGACCATCCTAGTCCTTAGGATAAAGATCATTTATTTACATTATTATTTTAAAAGTCCATCTCTCTAGATTATTAATGGATAAATATACCAGAAAAAAAGGGAGACCTTTAAAAGGTACTTAATGAAGTGTTTATAATCACTCTTTAAATTACTTCCTCTAACTTTCCCTTCCCTCAATCGATCAACAGAAAAAATCCCCTAATGGAAAATTGGGACAGGTGCCTCAGGGTAGAACCACAGAAAGAATCCACTTCCTGTCATCAGAGCGCCACCTTGTGGTATTTTTAGTTGTCTTCCCTGAGAACTGCCAGAAACACAAAACTGAGATTGACCCTTTCGCAGCTATAGGCTTCAATAACATTTTCTAGCTTTGTCTATATAATTTTAAGTTTATGCTTTGTGTTTAGAAGTAATCATGTATTTCTTTCCTTGTGGTACTAGAGATTAAACCCAGGCCCTTTGCACTAAGCTACATCTCTAGCTCCCTAACCCCGCTTTTTTTAAAATTTTGAGATGGGGTCTCTCTTTGAAATTGCCCAGCCTGAGCTTGAACTTGTGATCCTTCTGCTTCTGCCTTTTAGAGGGCTGGGATTACAGATGTGCGCCACCATGCCCAGTTTTGTAGTTCCATTTTTAATGTAGTCATATATATTTTTAAGAAAAGAATAAGCAATACTATTCATATTAAGTACAATAATTGCCATCGTTTGTTTATTCGATGTACTCTTATGAAACTGGTTAGCTTTGTTCCTCCAACCAAAATAGCATAACTCTTGCCTTTTTATTTACAGCTATTGTAACTACTTCTGCAACACAGGCCACTGCTAGTACCTATATATCTGATACCCCCACA